GGCGCTGGCAGCCGCGCGTAGACGATGGGCTATCATACTGTTTATCAAGGTCTGGCGGAAAGAAAACAAGCTAATGGGGCATTTGCTGATTCAATTCGTTGAATTTGAACAAATCTTTTTAATCCTCCTCTCCCGGGGATTGCAAAGGTCAGGAAATGGGCAGAATGTGCACTTTCAGGTATTGAAATTAAACTTGTTAAGAAATCCATATTGATTTGCACTTCTCTGAGAAATATTGAAGCCTCCAGATTTAGCCTGGGTATCGATTTTCTCTTCCAGGGGAAAGACATCGGCACAAAGGGAAGATATTACACGTGGCAGTAAACACCTTCAATCACTGCCCGCTCTGCCTCCATGCGCACAAACAGCCGGTCCGGCACTGCGGCTCCGCAGCCTTTCTGCGCCCCCAGGGTGCCCAGAGCCTGCCTGGAGCGGCTGGAGAGGGATTTGGGCTCTGCCCTTAAGGCCCTGCTTTAGCTTTTGGTCAGCCACGATCAAAAACAATTACTCGGGAAACTGGAGATGGTCATTGTAGGTTCCTTCCATCTACATTATTCCACTCCATTCTACCCCGTGTTCAGCGCTGCCAGCCCTTTCACTGCTTTGCTTTTAAATATTGCCCTAAGATGGGGGTGCAACTCTCCTTTGACTGTTTTTAACACACGCAATCAGCAACTACGGCAATTAAGAGGCTTAATTAGCATCTGAATCAGCCTTCTCGAACAACCCCCTTTGCCACAGTAGCAAATGAGGGCGAAGGAGTTGAAATTCTCCCTGTGAGGGTGGGCAGGCCCTGGGCCCTGGCACAGGGTGCCCAGAGCAACTGTGGGTGCCCCTGGACCCCTGGCAGTGCCCAAGGCCAGGCTGGGATGATGGAAGCTGTCCCTGCCCATGGAATCATTTGAGCTTTAAGGTCCATTCCACCCCAAAGCATTCTGTGGTTCTGTGAAGGGAGTGCCACCCTGGCTGGGGCTGTTTGTGGAGCTCCCAGGAGGATTTCACTCCAGCAGAGCTCCTGAGCCGGGTTTCCCAGTGGCCTGTCCATTTCTCCCAGTAAGGATTGGGATGTGCACTCTTGGGGCAGCAGAGCCAGGGCGAGGCTGTTCAGGCTCACACACTGCACACCAGATGTTGCCCTTCAGCGAGAGGAGTGAATGAGAGCCCTGCAGGCCCCAGAGCAGCCCCGGGGACCTTGTGGGACTCTGCCACTTCTGCCAGAAGGTTAAATAAAATTTCAATTAAGTGACACATCACCGTGGACCAACTGCTTCCAAACTGCCTGCTCTTAGACGAGCTCTGCTCCAGCGGGAGAGTTTAGAGCCGAACCTCTGTCTGCTCACGCGCTCCCTGCAGCCCAGCCTGGCCTCCCTCCTCCCTGCCGGCCACGCTGCGCCGCCCTCGGTGCCTCTGCAGGGTCACTGTGACCTACTCAGCCAAGGAACTTGCCAAACTGGACAATTTTATTGTTTTTCTCATGGATCTCCCAGCCATTCGGGAATCACACCCCATCCGCGCGCGGCTGCAGCCGCTCCCGCAGCACCACGGTAGCGCGTTGCCCCTCGGCTGTGCCCAGCCAGTCATCTCTGACTGCGTGTGTACCAACTGCAGGGAAGTAATTCGTTTGCTTGCAACATTAGAGGTGAATTAAACGCTGGATACTTGCTACCAGTCACTGGAGTAATTCTGCTCCTGAGTCCTTTCATGGGAGGGAAGGAAGGGAAGGAAGGGAAGGAAGGGAAGGAAATAAGCCCTTTCGAGACCACAGAAAATTGCAAAAGGATGTTTCTTCCAACCCGACATGACAAAATTGAATTCCAAGCTATTTAATGCATGCACGAAACGCCATAGAGGAACCCAGCCCGAGCACTCCATCCAGCACGACAGGGAAGGGGGTTCGGAACACAAGCATCGCTCCGGCACTAGCTCAGTGCTTCCAGCTGCGGCCTTCCAGGCGATTCCACCGAAAGGTAATACCGGGTAAGGGTTCTCACGGACAGGGCTATCGCCAGCATTTCCATGGACACACAGCTATGGGAACACTGCGGTTATGATCACACGAACGATGGAGACCTCGGGAAGCCGCTGTCCCGGGGGCTGGAGCCCGCTCAGTCTGTGGGACACCAGGGCCGGGGTCCCAGCGCGGCCCCGTCCCCTCCCCTCGGGGGTCCCGCTCCCACTGCAGGTGCCGCGGCCCGGCCCGGCCAGTGGCATTTCAGGAGTGAAAAACCAGCCCCACGGGCAGGGGCACGGGGAGCCTCCGGGTTTGTCCTTAAAAACGGGATTTCACAGGTTACACCGTCACGAGGGTGATGCCATGCAGCCTGCCCACGGCCCAGCCCGCCTCAGACCGGCGTGGTTCGTCTGTTGGCCGGGTTGTTGTGCAAAGACTCCTTGAACTCTTTGGGGATGGAGTTGTGGACCTGTAAAAAACCGTGGTCCCGCTCCGAGTTGAGCAGCGTCCCCATGGTGACCTTGGAGGGATCCCTGGAGAGGGTGAACATGGAGATGTCGGTGGAGGGGATGGTGCTGAACCCTTTGCTGATGGGCGACATGTCCCGGGAGCGGGGCTCGGTGGAGCGGGAGCTGGACCGCCGGCGGAAGCGGTACCTGTAGGGCGGCAGGCGGGTGAAGGCCGACCTCTTGAGCAGCTCCGAGTGCGACCTGGCGCGGATCTGGCGGTGCTTCTCGATGTACATGTGCACGGCGATCACGCCCACCATCTCGGCGATGATGAACGACAGCGCCCCGAAGTAGAAGGACCAGCCGTAGGAGTAGCTCTTCTTGGAGTCGCTCTGCCCCGGGTCCCCCGCGTTGGCCGAGATGTACACTATGATCCCGATGATGTTGCTGAGACCTGCGGGGCAGACAAGCAGGGCAGGCGCTCACCTGAGCGGCAGGAGTGGATGGGGGGAATGCGTCCCCATGGGGCACCAACCCTCTGCCAGCACACTGGGACCAAACCCCCTTGCAGACCTCTACTGGTCTCCCAGGACACCTTTATGTTCCCTTACACATTCCCTTGTCCCTGTATATTCCCAGGAAGGAGGAATAATCACTGTTTTTTCTAGAAAAGGGACATTTCAGGAGCTGGTTGTGCTCTGCTTTGCAGAGCAGGGATTGCAGGAGCCTGGCTGGTGTCATGCAGCGGCAGAGCCAGCCTGAGGGGTACAGGGGGATCCTCCCAGCATGAAGCCAGGTCACCATGGCCCTGGGAGCACAGGGAAGCTGGAATGGCTCTGCCCCTTTCCATTTCTGGTGGAGTCCTGAGGCTTTGTCTGGGGCAGGGGCAGCCTGTGCCCCACCAGCAGCCAGCAGGGCTGTGCTGCAGGCTGGGGAGAGGCTGGTGCATTCCCAGATTTACTTAATGAATCAATTATGTTCTCTCTGCTGTTTTCTCATCTGCATCAGCAGCTCCTGCCAGCCAAGGAGGAAGAGTCATTTGTCTTTTTGTGGGGAGAAGAAAAACACAAAATAGAGCGGTTCCTTGAGACAAAGACATTGTCACGCGATAATCAGGGGAAGCGGTGGGGAACAGCACAGAGAAATGAGTAATCCAGCAGGAACAGCCTCTCCAGAGAGTGGTTTCCATGTGGCAGCCCTTCTGCCTGGTGCTGCTGCTGGCACAGTGCCCACTGACTGTCCGGGATGGAGGGCAGAGCCCCAGTCCTGTCCCAGGGTCTGGTGGCCCCAGGGGATGGCTGCACTTGGGGAGCCCCTCTGGGGCTGTGCCCCACCATGGGCTCTGCTCGAGGCAGGGCAGAGGGCACTTGAAGCCCTGTCGGGCACAGGGACCATGGCCAGAGACCCCTGACAACCTTTCCCTTCTGTGGGGATTTTCCACAGGGCTGGAACAGCTCTCAAACCTCAGAATCTCTCAGTGCTGACAGCCTGGGAGGACCCACACCCCATCCCTGTGTCCCCCCCATGTCCCCCAGGCTGGAGGGGCCCCTAGGCAGCTCCTACCTGCAGAGACGAAGAAGATGCCAGCGCTGAGGATGACGTTGTGTTTGCTCTTGTAGAACTCGCTGGCGGCCACGCACAGGCCCCCGAAGAACAGCAGCCCCACGCTGAGGATGGGGAAGATGCTGGATGCTCTCACTGCACCTGTGGGACAGGGACAGGGGCAGCATCAGCCCTCAGCACCCCCTGAACCTGCACCAGGGAAGGGTCTGTGTGAGGGCACCCCTTGTGCTGCCAGGATGGATGGGGAGACACAGCCCTGGTCCTCACTAGGCATCCTCTGCTTGTCATGGACCTCTGCAGTGGGTTGGGTTGGAAGGGACCCTCACACCATCCAGTGCCACCCCTGCCATGGCAGGGACACCTTCCACTATCCCAGCTTGATCCAAGCCCTATCCAACCTGGCCTTGGGCACTGCCAGGGATCCAGGGGCAGCCTCAGCTGCTCTGGGCACCTGTGCCAGGGCCTGCCCACCTCTCAGGGAAGGATTCCTTCTGCACACCTCACCTGGATTTCCCCTCTGTCAGTGGAAGGCATGGCCAGTCCCAAGACTGGGTGAGGGTGGCCCTGCAGCCAAGGGACACTGTCCCCTCAGCATGAGCAGGTGCCAGGCACCGTGACACAAATGACACCCTGGCATGCAGAGCCACACGTGTGTGCCAGACTGCTGAGGGCTCAGCCCAAGCTCTGCATTCCCAAACAGCAACAGAGGCAGCAGGGTCGTGCAGCAGCCCTGGGCACCCCCCTGAGCTGCTGGGGCTGGAAGGAGCTCTGGAAGAAGGGCCCTGTGCCCATGGCATTGTGCTCAGCCCCAGCTGACCCAGCTGCTGCTCACCCAGCTGTTGCTCTGAACTCTCAAATTTCCACATCTCTGCTCACCCAGTGGAGAGGAGAGTGAGTTTAATGAAATGGCTTTGCAGTTTTAGTAGATTAGTGCTGAAGTTCTCCCACCCCCTCTCACATTTAAAGTAAAAAGTCTATTTTAAAGCCCCCAGGAGTGGAATTTTAATGGAGCTTCTCTGTATTTCTCTGCTTTAATAACGGCCCTATCTGAGGGATGAGAGCCCAAGCCAAGGCACAGTGTATTTTTGGTGCAGCAGGTAGTGATCTGCTGCATTCATTACTCTCTACTGTCACTTTAGAAGCTGATCCATGTAGGGAAGTGGATTGGGCTGGGCTTTAAGGTCCCTTCCAAGCTGGGCCATTCTGGGATGCTGTGGGAAGTCCTGGGGTCCTGCCCTGGAGCTTGGCTGGCCCCTGGGACAGGAGGAGCCACCTTTGCCGGGAAATGTGCCAGTTCAGCTCCCTCTGTGTCCCTGTGCTTGGCTGCCAGGGCACAGCACCTGGAGCTGCTCCTCGTGCTCCCAGCGAGCCCAGCCTGGCTGGAGGCTCAGGGAGCAGGGACAGGGGTCCCTGTGGGGCTGCACCTCAGGGTCCCAGTCCCCTGTAGGGACACCAGGGCACTCAGGCTGTGCAGCCACTGCTGGGACTGGCTGTGGGGACAGTGAGTGCCAGCCCAGTGTGCCAGGAGCACGTGGCACTGAGGCATGGCACTGAGGCATGGCAGTGCCAGGCTCAGGGAGCCCAGAGGGTCCCTGAGGCTGCACGGGGAGTCCTGGGGGCTGCGACCCTGCTGGGTGACACCGGGGCACAGGGAGGGGGTGCCCTGCAGGGCCCCGGGGATGTGTGCACAGGGGAGCACTCACGGAGCAGGTACTCGGCCGTGTCTTGCTCGTAGTCTGCATCCTCGGGGAAGTGGTCGATTTTCTTGCACACTCCTCGGAAGGTTCCTGGGGAGACACAAGGCAGGGAATGCTCAGTTCCTGCTGGCCAGGATGGGCAGCAGCCCAGGGGCCTTCATGCTCTACATGGGCACTGAGGCCCAGCGTGGGACTGCCCTGGAGCAGCCAGGGGCAGGGAGGGGTGGCAGGAGCTGCAGCATCTCCCCACAAGAAGGGCAGCAACCTGGCTGTGGGCACGTGCTCAGGTCATGCAGGCTCTGTGCCCTCTGCCATGGCACCAGGGACCAGGGCTCCAGACAGCACCAGCCAGCCCTCAGGGGGTCCTGCACGCTCCAGGCTGTGCTGGGGGAGCTGAGCAGCACGACAGGCATCAGTCAGAGGCTGGAGATGAAGCTCTGGGGGAGGCAGGCTGTCATCCAGAGGGAGACACAGCAAAGGAGGGAGAATCGCCTGCTGCCGTTGCTTTGGGAACTGTGGGAGAAGGGGATGCACTGGGCACGGTGAGGACACCAGCTCACGGCACAGCCCCCAGCCTCCTCATCCTCCTCCTCCTCGCAGCTCTGGGTTCCACCCACCTTGTCCCAGTACCCAGAGCCCCACGGCTCTGCCCCACGGGTGCCTCTGCTCTGCAGCCGCCAGGCAGTGCCAGAGCGGGGCTGCAGCAGTGAGGGATGGATGGAGCAGGCACGGGCAGAGCAGCACCCCTGGCTGCCCGGGGCAGGGGCAGCCCCGGCCCCACAGCATCCACTCACACTCTGACATTTATTTTGTCTCCTTTACTCCCTCTGTTCACCAACTGATGCTCGTCGTCATGGCAATGCCGAGCCACCTGACACACAACTCCAGCCTCCGAGCACACACCACAACAAGGCTGCAATCCCAAAAATCCCCTCTGACCTCCAAGGGGCTCCCCAGGGAGGGAATCCTGCCCTGGGAGCTGCGGCTGCCGCAGCCTCACCCAACAGCAGCCCAGACTCTCCGTGTGACGGTCTCACCTCAGTCCAGGGAATCCCCTCCAGCTGGGAAACCTCCCAGGGCTTTTTGTCTCTCCCAGCAATGGGACAGCAGGGCTCCTGCAGGCCGTCCCTGTCCTTGTCCCTGCCCGGCGGCCCAGGCTCCGCAGAGAGCCCTGCCTCGGGGTGGGTGACACGGGGTTTCGTTTGGCAGCGATGAGCTCGTTCGGAACACTCAGCAGCGGCGGGGTTGTGCGGGCAGCCTTCTCTTCCCTTTCCCTTTCCCTCGGGCAGGGTCTGTGTCCCCCGGGCTCCCCCAGCCCCGACAGGGTTTGTGCCCCCCGACCCCGAACAGGCTTTGTGCTCTCCCTGCTCCCCGGTACCGCCGAGTTCCCGCCCCGCCCTTATCGGCGCATGCAGAGGCAATTAATTGATTTGATCTCAGGTTGTTTTCCTCTCGGAGCCCCTTCCCCCAGGGAGGGCTGGGGGGACGGGGAGGGGCTGTGAGGGAAAGGCGGTTGCGGTGGTGGAAATACAGCCGAGAATATCGATCCCAGCCCGACGAGCCGGGAGGCTAAAGAGCTCCAGTTAGGGTGTTAAAATCTCATTACTTTTCATCTGGTGGAACCGTTTTTCCAGGGACCATTCTGGGTGCTACTGGGGTGTGCAAAGAAGACTCAGGCTGAGGAGGATGAGCTGAAACCACTCTCAAATGAGAACAAAATTCCTCGCTCCCCTCGTGGTGGCTCAGCCAGGAGTCAAGGTCACATTCCAGCCCTCAGCTCTCTGCTCCTGCTGATAAATCCAAGTGAGTTATCTCCCAAGTTGTGGTTTCCAGTAATGGCCTTCTGAAGGCACTGTGTTACACCGAATCCATCTGAGGGAATGGCGGGTCATTATGGTCTAAGTTCCCTGAAAATTAATATTTTGGAGAACCAGAGGTCGGAGCTGAGCTGGGGAGTGCTGGGGTAGGAAGGAGCCTGCTGCACAATCCCAGAGATGCTCAGGCTCTGCACTCCCTGAGTAACAAGAGCAAGATACCTAAATATCTCCGAGGAATTAAAACTTCAGGGCTCATCTTTTTTTACCTCCCACCCACCTCCCAGATGCTTGGAGAGATGGAGAGAAATTCATCCATATTCCTTCTCTTCCCCAGCTCCAGGCTCTGCAAGGCATCCTGGGGCTCTTTGCACAAGGTCCCTGGTGTGAGATTGCAGAGCTCCGGGTTCTGGGTCTGTGCTAGCCACGGCCAGCAGCCAGTGCCCACAGCACAGGGCTCAGTGGGTGCCACCGAGCAGCTCCTGCGGCCCTGGGATGGCTGTGGGGAGAACATTGTTTGCCTCCTGCATCACCACATTTTCAACACAGCCTGAGTTCAAAGGCACACAGCAGCTCAGAGGAGCAGCAGAGAAGGGTGGTGGGGCGGCTACAGCCCCTGATCCGCAGTGCTGAGTAAATCCCCTGGAGCTGCTGCTGGAGCTGAGGACGAGGGCTGCTCTCCAGCAGGCCAGGGAAGCCCTGGGGAGCCAGGGGAGCTGTCCCTGCCATCCCACCAGCTCTGTGACACCTCAGACCGTTCCTGCACCTGCTGGCCCCGAGCCCAGGAGAGCGGCCGAGTGAAGGCAGAACCCGAGAGCCCCCAGCCCTGCTGGTGCCGGGATGGGTGCTGGGCCCCTCAACACCTGGCAGTGGGAGGAATCCTCCTCCTCCTCCTCCTCCTCGGCAGGGCTGAGCTGTCCCGCAGCACATCCCGGCGGCCAGCAGCCCCACAGCAGCTCCCCCGGCGGCTCCGTCTGCCTTTCACACCCTCTCCCCCTCGCTGCGGTGGTGGCTTGTGCCTGAGCAGAGGCACCTACACAGATACGCCTGTTCCGAAGGACACTTTTCCCTGGCTTTATATATTAAAAAAACCCCCACCAGTGGAAAAAACCCAAGTCAGATGGAAGGAGAGCAGGAGCGAGGAGGCAGCAGGGGTGGCTGCGCTGTGGCTGC